GATTGAGGCAAAATCAGACACAATTTTTTCAGCAGAACCTATTTACTGCCAATTCTCTTCTAGGGTATTCAAAAGAGTCTTCATATTCCAGCACCTTTGTTGCATATTTTCTCACTAAGGAAAGTGTGAGGAAACATAACAGAAGTGCTGAAATGAAAGCCCTCTGAACAGGCAATAGCAATTATAAATCACAACAACCCACCAAAAAATAGCAACGTGCACATGGTAGTACATTACACAAATTATGCACTTGCTGCCTGGTATCTGATGCAAGTTTCAGTATTTGTGTCCATCGTCCAACAATCCACAAGCCCCAATTTAAATAGGCTTCAGACTGGCAAGCATATTAGCAAAAACATGAAGGTGGGATTTTAAACTCTAAGAAAATTACTTAAAAGATTCTAGTTTAAAAAGCCTGTAATTAAGAGAATAAGAACACACAAACATGCACGAAAGGGATGGAAAGTATTTCTTCTATTGAGCATTCCTCCAAGACTAAATAATAATACGCCAGTCTCTTATCCCCCAGGATAGGAACAGTTCAAGCCATTCAATTCCTTCAAGGACACCATTATATGGATCAAGGTCAAATGCAAGCTACTTCCTAAATGCATAAAATACAAAACTTAGGCATAATAGCTTGCAGTTAATAGTCTGTAACAGATGAAGATAAAAAAAAGCAAAGCAAGCAGTTTTGATATTTTCCATTTCAAAGGTTGACATAGCTGAAGAACTGCTCAGAATTTATCAGCTGGCTGACAGCTGTCCATTTTTTTCAAAAAGAGAATGAAAAATTAATGTGAAAATAATAATAGGCTCATAGCTACTTTAGACTTCAGCACAATCACACGCACGCAGGCTGAAACTCATAATTAGCTGTCATTTGTTTTGGAAAAAGCTGAGTGGGCATTATTTGCACTATGATGCAACTCACATACGTAACTGGAAATTTAATGCAATTGCTCATAGTTAAGATTAATTCACATACCATGCTATGCCAGTATTTGCTTTAACCAACATTTGTTGATTAAGGCAGGGTCCCATTTTATTTATAATTCTAATCTATAAATCACAATAATTTGATATCAATAGGCTATTTCAAAGTGAAGCAAACTATATTAAGCAAAATTTAGCATGAGGTGTGAACACAACTTAAGTACTTTGACACTGGAAATATCTAGCCATATTCTGCAAAAAATGAATTCGTTCATTTTAAGATGTCATTAGACTATCTTTGCTACGTTACACTAACACAGCTTAGAGGTATAAATTAATGTATCTTAATTAATTACATCTAAATGTGTCTGATTTCTTCTTTTTAGCCCGTTTCTATTAATACTAATTAAGCTTCTCTTCCTTTCTGTCTCCTGATGTGAATAATATAGATTGTAAGCAGTTAGACATGGGCATTCTACTTCTTTATAAAATGTTATTCAATGTTGAATTCAGGCACTCAATCATGATCCTTAAAACTTGGTTTCTTTTACAAAATATAATAACTCAAATTCAGGCAATACTGTAAGTCAAAACAAAAACAAATTAAGTTTGATGTATAACATACATGAATTCAATCTGTGCAATAATATTTAAATAATGCTGCCCCAAACTGCACAATTAAAGTCTAAATATAAGCTCAATCCTCAGTCAGGTATATTTATATTCCATTCCTTTACAACTTAAAGTGGTTGCTCTATCTATATTCATAAACTATCATCCATCTTAATAGTCAATACAGGTAGTCCTTGACTTATGACAATTGAATTCAAAACTTATGTTGCTAAGCATAACATTTAAGTGAGTTTTGCCCCATTTTACAACCTTTCTTGACAGTTGTTACGTGAATTTGGCTTCCCCATTGACTTTGCTTGTCAGGTGGTTTCAAAAGGTGATCACATTCCCCCCCAGGGCATTGCAGTTGTCATACATGCCAAGTTGAGAAGGATCCAAATTTTGATCACGTGACCATGGGGATGCTGCAATGGTCGTAAATGTGAAAAACAGTCATAAGTCACTTTTTTCAGTGCTGTTATAATTTTGAACAGTCACTAAAATGGTTGTAAGTTGAGGATTACCTGTAAAGGACACAATTCAATACAAGTGTTCTATTGATATTATTGTTCTCAGCAAAGCAAAATGAATTACAGGTAGTCCTCCACTTACAACCATTCATTTAGTTATCAAAGTTACAACAGCATTGAAAAAACTGACTTATGACCCATCCTGACACATATAACCATCACAACAACCCCACAGCACATGATCAAAATTTGGGTGCTTGGCAACCAGCATTTATTTATGATATCAGAGAGCCATTTGCAACCTTCCCAGCTGGCTTCTGACAAGCAGACAATGGAAGAAGCCAGATTTGCTTAATGACCTTGTGATTCACTTAATAACTGCAATGATTTGCTTAACAACCATGACAAAAAGGTCATAAAATGCAGTGCAACTCACTGAAAAACTGCTTGCCTTAGCAATGGAAATTTTGGACCCAATTGTGGTTGTAAATCAAGGAACACCTGTATTCCACCACATCACATACTTTTTTACTTGAGGGATATGCAATCTTCCAGAACATCATATATGTGTTATATATGTATAGTGTGGCAGCTCTCAAGTTCCACTGAGACATGTTCACCTGTTAGCTGCTAATTACAAACTGCCAATTAGCATCAAAAAAAGCTAGGAGTAACTGACATTAGCAACTGTATTGCCACAATGCAATATGGTTATTTAGTATCACTCTACAGAAGTATGCCTCTGTTCTAGTTTTGTTCATCAGGGTTAAAAGTTATTGAAGAAAGTCGTAGTCTACTTAGACTTTCAGAAACAAATAGTAAATAATTCAATTGATTACATTTGAGGGAGAACCACAATCAACACTGGCAATGAACGTTAACACTCAGGTATTTTGAACATACACAGTTATTCCCTTTTTGGGTGGGCAGCATTATGCAGAGTGCTGAAAAAAAAATCAAAGAAATTAAAGGTATACAAATCTTGGGTCAAAATACTACTTTCCCCTATATTTTTGTGCATATTTTGGTAACACTTGACACAATATTCTTCGAGGTCCTATGTCAAGTTTTTTTCCCCATTTCATTTGGCTTTGATCCCCGACTGAAATTAAGCCAACTCCGTAAATGCTCTAGATTGGTACCTGTTCAAGTTCCACTGCTTAAATTAAAACATCAACAAACCAACTGAGGCTCCGAGAAGACACTGTGCTAAAACCTTATCAGTCCTTGCATGCAAGCTGCAGTTGGACACTATCAGGCATACCAATGAATCATCAGACAGAATTGGAACCGAGGGATATGCACACGTGCTGAAGCACCAGAAACAACTTTAAAATGGATGGAAACTAATCAAGGAGAACACCAACCCAGAACTAAGGAAAAATTTCCTCACCGAACAATTAATCAGTGGAGCAACTTGCCTTCAGACGTTGTAGGTGCTCCAACACTGGAGGTTTTTAAAGAAGAGATTGGATAACTATTTATCTGAAATGGTATAGTTTTTTGTTTGAGCAAGGGGTTGGATTAGAAGACCTCCAGGGTCCCTTCCAACTCTATAACAAAACTTTCTACAGTACTGAAAACACTCCACACCTCTAGAAATCATTGTTTCTGTACTTTTTAATAAAAGAGACCTGCTGGAAGAGGCAATCGAAGTTACACACAGAGTCTTCTTGCACCATGGTCTGAAACAACTAAAGGAAAATATGAGAAGAGGCCATTCAGATGTCACTTAGGGCACAGTAGCTGGTACAGTAACACTCATCCTGCGTGGGATTCAGCTGGAAAAGCAAGTAACAAGCAACAAACAAACAACCCCCCTCCCCCAACAACTGCACGTGGCCAACCATCAGCTGCGGCACACGGGATCAGCAGGGAGCAGAATATTTTCCTACAGGAAAATGCAGGCATGCACACGTCTGTTTGGGATTTGGAAGCATTGGCTTATTTCAATGCAAACAAGAAGTGGAATGACATGATCCTAGAGTCGCTGCAACCCCCCCCCCCCAGAATGGGTCAACTTGCTGCACGACAATTTAACAATTGTATTTAATTGTTTAAAGCAGTGGTTCCCAACGTGGGGGGCCCACACCCCACAAGGGGGCAATTTGATTTTTAATGGGGGCAATTTGAACCTTGTTTAAACCAAGTTAATGCATGAGTAGAGTTCACTTTTTGAGTAAAGTAAGAATTATATGGGGGGGGGGGCAACAGGATTTTAAAGATGCTTAGGTGGGGCAAAACTGCCACTGGTTTAAAGTAAATAAAACAATCTGTTTTAGTGTTTGCCATTAATGCTGTCCAACCTTTTTGTATCCTTTAATTTTTTTTAATGATTCCATCCCATCACCCTCTTTCTTTGATATTAGCATCCCTTTTGCCCTGCAGCCAGTAGCAAGTTGACAATGGGAAGTTGTCATACACACACACAGCACCCAGTTTGATTCATTTGGATTTCCTAGCAAAAATCGCGCCAAAGCAGCCTTCAAGAGCCAACATTCCCAAATTGGTCCTTTTTGGGGGGTGGCTAGGTGCGTGCATAAGTGCACCAGCGTGCCTACCGTCCCTGCCCTACTGTCCCCATGCATTTGTACCCCTTTCCTGTGTTCTTATTCATCGTTTATTCTTATCCCTGCTATCTTGTACATGAGTGCCGAATTAAATCAAATCAAATCCATCGCGGGCACCGACTGACTGCGCGCGTTCAAGTGTTTTATACTGGACTTCCCCAAGAAAAGCAGCCAGCCTGGCACTGGGGATGCACCCCCGCCGCACCCCTCCCCGACCCCGCTTTCCAAGACCGACGATCTCGCTGACACCCCGCCCCAAAAGATGCGTGTTCGCAATGACCACCCTCCCCTCCCCCAAAGCTGAGCCACAGCCAAAAGCGCGGCGCCCGGGGTCGGTTCACACGTGCCCGGGGGTCTTTTCTCTCCCCCTGCCCTCCGTGGCGAATGGGGGGGGGGTGTTTCTCCTCCTCACCTTGGGCGATGGCGATGGACTCGAAGCGGTGCAACTCCCTCAGCAGGCAGCTGCGCTCCGTGGAGTGCAGGCTGTAGATGAAGTCGCGGGCCCCCTGCGCCGTGTTGAGCGCCTCCACCGGCTCCTTCTTGGGGTGTGTGCCCAGCGGCCGCGGGGAGCCCAAGCAGGAGGCCGCGGCCGGCGGCCACAGTCCGTCTCCGGGCCGGGGGGCGCGATGGAGGGCGCTGAGGCGCCGTCGGAGGAGCAGGAGGCAGCGGCACCCGCCGAGGCGGGACGCCCGCTCGGAGGAACCGGCCGAGCCCAAGCGCAGCGCCAACCGGCAGCTCAGCCACGTCGGCGACGACATGCTGCCTGCCCGCCCGCCGGCTCGGCTACCGGCGCTGGGAAGGAGAAGGGCGGCGGTGGTGGTGGCGGGGACGCCCGGCCGCGGGGAAGGCGGTACTCATGAGTCTGTCCCGAGCCTTTCCTTGGCCGCGCCCTGCCCGGCGGTCCCGGCGACTCAGAGCCTGAGGACGGCTCCGGCCAGCCGCCTCATCTCCCCTCAGAAACCAACCGCGGCAGCGAAGGAATCCGCCTCTCAGCTCCCGCCTCGCCTGTCAGGCTGGACTGAAAGGCGGGAGGTGGCCGGCAGGCGCCACGCAGGCGCGCTGGCCTCACTTTGCCAATGGCCGCGGCCCCGCCCCCCCCCACGCCTTATCAACCAATGGGAATGCCTTCTCTTTTCCTCTCCGCTTTTTCCCCCCCGCTGCTCCTAATTAGATGCGGGGAAGGATGATATTCCAGCCACGCCCACATCCCTGCAGATCACCGCCCCGCCCCCTTTTGCTTCCTTTGATTATATATCGAGGTTGACCGTTGAGTGGCAGCCCAAAACTCCAATTTCTGGCTCAATCATGGGGTGATCCGGATCTTTGCTACCTAAATCAGACAGCCTCCCCACCTTTCAGTGCACATTCTCTCTTGCATCCTCCCTCTTGGGTGTGGTTGTTCTCCTTTGCTCTTGATGACTTCATGGAAACATCTATATTATTTCTCTGGGAGCGGCCCAGATGTTCTGCTAAAAATATAAAGGCAACGTCTGCAAGCAGAGCTTGGTTGCTTGGTTCTCACATAGGGCAAGATATAGTGTCTCAGACTCTGAGCTTGTTGATAAGAAAGGTCGTCAGTTCGGCGGTTCAAATCCCTAGCACCGTGTAATGGATTAAGCTCCCGTTACTTGTCCCAGCTTCTGCCAACCTAGCAGTTCGAAAGCATGTAAAACTGCAAGTAGAAAAATAGGAACCACCTTTTGGGTGGGAAGGTAATAGCATTCTGTGCGCCTTTGGCATTTAGTCATGCCGGCCACATGACCACGGAGACGTCTTCGGACAGCGCTGGTTCTTCGGCTTTGAAACGGAGATGAGCACAGCCCCTAAGTCAGGAACAACTAGCACATAGATGTGAGGGCAACCTTTACCTTTTTATGTACTGTATACATGTACATGACTATAGCGGGCAGTGTTCAGCTCTGTTTGCAGGCCATGAAGCCAGCACTGTCTCAAGACATTTCTGCGGGCATGTGGCCAGCATCACAGATCCCTGTGATCTTCCCACCAAGTGGTGCCTATTTATCTACTCACATTTGCATTCTTTCAAGCTGCTAGGTTGGCAGAAGCAAGGATCGGAGCTCACCCCATCGTATGGAGTTCAGGTCTCGTGTGGGCTGCTAGCTGACGAACCCAAAGTCTTAACCACTGAGCCACCATGCTGCCCAAATGTAGGAAAGTGGTTCCTATTTTTTTTTCTTTCAGAAAGTTTGCATCTGGAAATGTACTAAAACAAGGTCTGTCTCTTTTCCTATCTCCTTAGGGTTTTTTAAAGTTGTTATAAATTAGTGTCTTCTTTATATCATTACAAAGGAATAGTTTTTTTTCTCCGTTGCTGTTGGGAGAAATGTACTTCTGGGTTCAGCTCCAAGTGGGGAAAAAGACACTGGAGACATGGAGGCTGCATGGAAAGGTGGTTTAATGGTGGACAGGACCACATGGCTTGAGTTCCTGAACAGAAAGGGTGGGGGTCACATGCTCCCAGATGTTGGGTGAAGAAGAGAAAGAAGGGCTGAAAGTTCCTGGCTTTATACCAGTGGTGGGTTCCGGATCCCAGTGCAACCGGTACAGTGCAACGGGACCGGGCGTCCACCACATGAACGATGGCAGCACGCACGCACGTGTGCAGCACGCGCATGAGTACTTACCACCTGCGACGCTCTGCAACGCCTCTGCAATGCTCCAGCTGCTCGGTGGAGCGTCGTGCAGGTGCCATACGCTCTGCGCATGTAAGCCTCGAACAGCTCAAATACAGGTAAGGAGCAAGGGCGGGCGCAGTGCCGGATTTAGATGAAAAGAGGCCCTAGGCTATTTCACTTATGAGACCCTTTCACCTCCCATTTTTGTAAATTGCATGAGAGACAATAAAATACATCATTACTGTGATATATATCAATATATATCAATATATATAGCTGGCCTCCCGATGGAGGGCGGCTCTGCTCTGCGGCAAAGGCAGCNGGGGAACCTTTACCTTAAGGGAAATGAAATGACAAATCCAGACAACTAACATCAAAACATGGGCAACATATGACCAACACCTGAAATAATAAGAGGTTCCATTCAGCCTATCTTAAGGCCTTGGAGAAGATCTGGAGATCTACTTTACACTCCTGAGTGATCCAGGCTTTCACCTTCATTTCCCCCTTCTGTATGAAATCCTCTCCAGGGAATTCCTAACAATGGTCACTCAGAGCCCTGTCCCTAGTTGATGGGCATGTAATGCATGCAAATTATTTTAAAAAAGGAATAAGGTTTTAATCTGTGGATTGCACTCACCAGCCTGAAGCCGAAGTCCATCTACTCTTAATATTCCCATACGGATATTCTCTCGCCAGTCAGCAATTAATTGAGCAAGAAGATGCCTTGTGTTTCCTGAATTTCATAGTCAATTCATCCTGAGTGATAAGCAGGTGAGTTTCTACCGGTTTGGACCAGTTTGGCAGAGTAGGTAGTAACACGGCCACCCATGCACCCGAACAGGTTCTATTGTCGGTGGCGCCACCTTGATTTTTACTTCTGCGCATGGGCAGAACAATCTCCATTGCAGAAATGTACCCCCCCCTTTTTTCTAACATTCTGCACATGCACAGAACTTTTTGGGTGTAAATGCGCATGCGCGCCGCAGAGCAAAAATATTTTTGCATTGAACCGGCAGTAATGCTGGTAGCAACTCACCTCTAGTGATAAGAGTTATTCTCAGTCCAGACCCCAATAAGATTCAGAAAAAAATAATCAACTTGCAGTCTTTTCACAGATATAAACAAATTCATTATCCGTCCTCCATCTTTGGTATTACAGAAATCTCTTCAGTCCCTTATTTAATCCCTTTTTAATGACCAAATCCATTATTCATCACTTCACATTTTTCTATTTTCAATAAAAAGCCCATAAAAGTTTCAGAATAACAGAACAGAACAGAACAGAATAGCTCCGATTTAATTGATTTCTAGTTTAGTGATCGTTCAAAGTTACAACAGCACTGAAAAAAGTGACATGTGACTATGTTTCAGAGTTACAACCTTTGCAATATCCCATGTGATCCCCTTTTGCAACCTTCGGACAAGCAAAGTCAATGGAGAAGCCAGATTTGCGTAACAACCATGACACTGACAACTGCAGTAATTCGCTTAACAAAGGTGGCAAGAAAGGTGGTGAACTAGAGGAAAGGAGAAGCCAACGTCGCAATGATACAACGTGCGGTCTTGACACTCCGAGACCGCCGTTGATACTTTTGCCACTGGATGGTCCATTTGGACCTAAACCGTCCCACAGAGACTGTGATCAGGAAGACAAAGCCTTGCTGGTCTCAGGGACATTGCAAAGTCCCTGATTGATCCAAGGGAAGCCTTCAAGCCAGCGGTAAACAGGCAGCCCCTGGCTGATGAAGTTGGGATGGCTCCGGAAGGAAGGAAAGGTTGTGAAATAGGGCAAAATTCATTTAACAAATATTTCACTTATCAACAGAAATTTTGGGGTCAATTGTGGTCGTCAGTCGAGGGCTACCTGCATAAGGATCTCGGTTTCATTTTGAAACTTTGCAGGGTACAGGTTTGCTACGCATAGATATGTTGTAAATATTGGGATTTCTTTCGGATGGTCTGTTTGAAAAAGAAAGACAAACGGTGTGCATTTTTGTGTATATTCACGATTCCTAAATCTCCAGTCATTCTGCCCCTTAATATAATTCTCTTTCTACTTCTGTGCATTGGAGGTAGCATTTTTATTTTTTAAAAATCAGTCTATTACTGTACAACAACCCATCGTGATGCTTCACATTTGTAATCGTTTTTATGGCTGAATGATCGCACAGTGAATTTCCTGAAAAATTGATTTTGACACAATGTGATTTCAGGAATGAGATGCTCACTCTTCAAAACATGATCTAAATTATATGGGTATGACGGATTACTAGCAAACACAAAATTATGGATTGATACAAGCATTAGCCAAAAGAAATAATGGGAGATAGGACAGGAATCAAATCAGACTAATATAAATCAGAAAGGACAACTCTTGCTCAAACTATTATTTGGTTGTAACAGAGGTAGGTTGCTGCCGGTTCGGCCCGGATCGGCTGAACTGATAGTAGCGGTGGCAGGAGGCTCCGGATACCTGCCTGGATCACACACACCCAGGAGTGAGCACTGGAGCACGCCCAAACCAGTAGTAAAAGAATTAGCAACCCACCTCTGGGTTGTAGACTATGGAAAGGAAGATTCAAAATCCTCTCCTCCATCTTTGGGGTTCCCTATTTTTAAACTTACCAGTTTGGTGTAGTGGTAAAGGGTTCACCGACAAATGTGCGCTCGACAAAAGCGCACCAACGAAACCGCAGCAAGAAAACCACAAGGTCAAAATCATGCTGACGAATGCACGCAGAAGCGCGCCGACAACAGCACACTGACAAAAGCGCGCCTTCAACAAACAACTAATAACAACCTAATAACCCTAATCCTAACCCTAATCCTAACCCTAACCGTAACCCTGAACCTAACCCTTACCTTAACTTAAATCGCGCTTTTGTGGGCGCGGTTTTGCCAGCGCATAGTTGTGGGTGCGTTTATGACATCGTGGTTCTCTCACCGCGGTTTCGTCGGTGCGCTATTGTCGGGCGCACATTTGTGGGGTCACGGTGGTAAAGGCATTAGGCTGGAAATTGGAAGAATCTGAGTTCTACCGTAGTCCTATCTTAGACACAAAGCTAGCTGGTGATCAGTCACTTTCTTTCAGCCCCAGGAAGACGGCAATGGCAAACCATTTCTGAAAAAACTTGCCAAAAACCTGCAGGGACTTGTTCAGGCACCCTCTGAGAAGTGCACACGACTGAACAGAAGAAGAAGAAATAAATTTCAAGTGGACTTTGACTTTGCTGTTCTCAGTTGTGAAGTCGTGTCCAACTCATCGCGACCCCATGGACAACATTCCTCCAGGCCTTCCTGTCCTCTAAACTCAGGTCTACTGCTTCGGTGACTCCATCTAGCCACCTTATTCTCTTG